GAGTTCGGTGTATGGTCGTTCGCTTGCATCAATCACGAGAGCCATTTCAGTGATGCCCTCACCAGCGGCTTCTCCTTGTTGGCTACTAACACACGCTTTTCAAAAGAAGATTGTTGACTCCAGAACGCCTTCAGCTCGCTCGAACAATTCTTTGCTCTTGTTCTGGTGTTCGGGATGTTTGTTCTTGAGGTGTAGGGCGAGTTTAGATGGAGCCAGGTTCTCGTTTGAAAATACCAGGCGAAAATACCGTCGTACCGTTCCTAAATCTCATTCACTCCCCATTCACCCTATCTTCCCCATTCACCCCAATCCAAATTTCATTCACCCTAGGGTGCACCGTTCACCCCGGTTGAATAGCACTGGTCTAGAAGTAGCTCTAGTAACTATAGCCCGCGTACCGGTACAGTTATACTTATAGCGGCAACTGTACGCGGGCTATAGTTACTAGAGCTACTCTAGAAATGGAACTAAAAACATACAATTAATAGTAATACAGTTCAAGACTCGGATTTATCATTTTGATCAACTTATAGTCCCTTTGTTTTTTTTGTAGTCCCTTTTTTCCGGTATAGTTCTTTTGTCGCTTTGACTTTAAAAATTAAAGACTAATCTACGAGCCCCACGCCTGGAATGCGAATCATAATTATTATGATATAACTTCAGACCATAAATTGTGCGGAGTGGCTGGAGGTACGGTACTACGGTAAACATCAGATTTAGCCTCGTAAATTAACTTGCAAATGCCACGGCCAGATGGCGCTACACGGTCTATCGGCGTTTCGGGCGTATCAGTGGAACATCGTCAGCACTCTCTTAGTTCTGGTACAGGGTAGCGAAGGAGGGGGAAGGAGTTAGAGTAGTACTAGTAGGTGGAGTAGGAAAGCTAGTGAAGTAGGAGATAGGGAGAAGCTGGTGGAGAAGGAGGAAGGGAGAAGCTGGTGGAGAGGAGGAGGGGAGAAGCTGGGGGAGAAGGAGGGGAGAAGCTGGTGGAGAATGAGAAGGGGAGAGGGACTGGTGGAGGAGGAGGGTGTGTGTGTGTGTGTGTGTGTGTGTGTGTGTGTGTGTGTGTGTGTGTGTGTGTGTGTGTGTGTGTGTGTGCGTGTGTGTGTGTGTGCGTGTGTGTGCGTGTGTGTCACTCAGACACGCAGCACACCTCCGTGCATTGCTTCTTCTTAGACCTTTCGTTCTTCCATGTCGCTCGGTTGATTGTCTAGCTTCTGCTCTATTCCCCTCCAGGTGAAGCCCTTCTCAAGTTCAGCCTGTGAGTCTCGCCTCCAGGTTGCTTTAGATCTTCCCACCGACGTCTTCTTTGCGGGTTCCAGCTCAGCGACGTGCGCGTGTTGTCCGTCGCTTTCTTCCTCAGTCTGAGGACGGTCTAAACATTAGAGTTGAACATTTTTAATTTAGTTTTGAGTGTGCATGATGGCACTTGTCTTTCAAACTTTGTTGAGCAATTTGAAGGCGCCCGTTGCCGTCCATATTCTGTCCTTGACATATTTCTCGGTCCCTCCGTTTTTGTCCAGAGCGCTATACCTAATTGTGCTAAGTATGTGAACGTCTCCACCTCCTCAATACATTTTGTGCGTTTATCCTGATGGACTTTGTTGTCTTTGTAATATTGAATTTCAGCCCGACTTTAGCTGCTTCCTGACCCAGTTTGTCTGTTTTTGTCTGACTATGGCTGATGTGTGCGAAAGCATTGACGGGTCATCATGCAGCGTAGTCGAGGTCATCAAGCAGGGTCTAAGGTGTCCATTATATTGCGCTGGCCATAGGTTGTCTTTTCCATAATTTTATTCTTCTTCTTCCGTTATCAGTCTTCCATCAACTGGCTGATGATTATGACTGTGACAACAACTGGTGAAATTTCTCGTCATGATTACGGTCTACCTGAAGTTCTTCTCGTCATGATTACGGTCTACCTGAAGTTCTTCTTCAGCGGGGCGTATGTCGTCCAGTTCTTGAAGGGAATTGGATTGTTAAGAATTTGTTCTGCTTGGCTGGGCCTCTGTGTAAGTGATCAGGTTGTCGTTTGCATCCTTGATGGGTCTGTCCTGGCAGGGGCGTAGCCATGGGGGCACATGTAACCAACCGTTCATGTTCATCCAAGGAAAAATTCTTGAGGACATGAAGGCAGCAAGGATGATAAAAGGAACAGCAAAACAGATCCCGGAAATTATTGGCCGGTGTCAATTTTAAGTAGGATCCTGGTCTGCTCTCATATTTATTTTCGAAATGTCTGCACATCGACGCTAGATGGCAGCAGGCAACAGCAATTTACCGAAATCTGTGTCATTTCTGATTTTTTTTTAACATCGTTCTCGAGTAAAACCCAATATCAACGTTTGTTGAGGTAATTGACTGCAGATACCAAGTAGTATAAGTGCGTAAATGATTCGCGCAAAGAGCAACATAAATTTTAGGGTCGTAGCAGAGTGAATATAACTGATATGACGTGAAATGCGCGAGCGTTTCCGCCGTTGTTATGGCGAGGACCCTACGCCCTATACTCCCAGCACTTGGAGCGTTTCAATAAAAAGCTAAATAAACACGAAATTTATTGACTACCAAGGTCCAAAGTCTTAATGTTTCTCTACTCTCTTTTGTCGATAATTGCCGATAATTTCCTGCAAATGCTCCTCTGTAGCACATAGTATTGGCTACACCGCACGCATACCAAGGCTGCACAGTGTATTACAGTGTATACAGTGTATTACAGTATTATTATAATGTCACAATATGTGTATAATATCAGGGGTTAATATAGTCCGAGATTCCTCTGACCAATGCCCACACCGACGATTTTGGTGGATTTGATGTGGGTTAGTCCACTATCCCACTACTTATGCCTACTTATGCTGAGAGGGTCTATGTCCCCCAGGGTACTGCCGGAACGTACCCTGGTACTATCTAATATGCCAGACTTTCTTTGCCTTCTCCACTAGCAAGTCTATAGGGAGTCGCCTACGCCTACTCCCTAACCCTAACCATAACCATATCAGATAGTTACCAGGGTACGTTCCGGCAGTACCCTGGGGGACATAGACCCTATGAGCCCTACTTATGTGTAGCCGAGGAGAATTTGAATGGAATTTACAGGAAATTATCAGCAATAATAGGCGAACGAGAGTAGAGAAACATTAAGACTTTGGTATAGTAAGTATACATTTCGTGTATATTTAGCATTATTTTTTTATTGAAACGCTCCAAGTGGCTGTGGCCCTACTAGTAGTAGTATCACTGTCATTATCAATAATTATAAATATTATTGATAATGACAGTGGTACATAGTGATACTGAACACGAATTGTGGGGTGTACCAGGGAAAAAATAGCTCTCGTCAAAAATTTTACGGGAGCTATTTTGAATTGCCTATTTTCACTAATTTTCGATTCTCACTAGTTACCCCTCGCTTCAAGATTCTCTCCATGTTTGCAGAGTCCTGGGGCACGTTGTGCCTAAACCAAGATGAAAAAATCTCGTGTCTGGTGTTACAATGTGAGAATTCGTCTGCACTGATTGTTTCATTTGCATTGTTTGCTTGGACACATTGCTTTTTTTCAGCCTGCAGCTCGCATTTTTCAGCTCGCACATCCGCCAGATCCCCTAACTACGAGAGCGATTTTTTTCAAATTATCTTTTTTTTTGTTCTCGTAATTTGTTTTGCGGGAGCGAATTTGTAGGTTTGAAGAGCGAATCGCTCGTCGCTCCCGTGTATTTTTTTCCCTGGTGTGTACGGCCCAAGCAGGGTTTCCGAAAATGACAGCTGGTGCACCAAGCTATCCTTGATTTGTGTGGACCAAATGAACTTAACTGATAATCTCTCTAATGTAATTACGTTAACTTTATAATTATATTGCTCTAGACTACAGCAGTATGGAGATGGTCACTGTCGCCCGGTCACTTGTCATGTTAAGCATCTGCTTACTGTCACCAGCTTCTACAGGTAAGTACGGTGACAACCTCCATGATTGATTCTCATGCAGTCTGACCACCGAGCTCTATTTACTAACTGGTCAGAGGCATTGACTAAGAATACCTCATAAGATATTCTTAGTCTATGTCTATACATAGAGAAAAAATCACCCTCTCGTAACAGTATGCTCAAGCCTAGTTTAGGACCCAAGTCTTTACCCGATGTTTGCAAAAATGAGGCCTGGGTCCCAAACAGAGCTTGACCCCACATGGCACAAACTCGCAAAAGTATTTGCTCAGGGAGGTGTGTGCCGTGAGATTGTGTGTTGCAGAGGCGTATTTCAATATATAGCATTTTACGTGGAACTATTAGAAAACGGCGAGTTCATAAACTTTGGTAGTAAATACAATTTGTTTTTACTATAGCTTGCCTGCAGCAGAAGACAATGAACAAATGTGTTGTCAATATTTTACGTGCTTTCCCTGTTCTTATTCAATTTGTTGTTTTTTCTCGAATTTGCAGAATTTGTGCCAATACAAAAAACGTGCTATGAATGCCAGTACACGGATATCCCCAACTTCAACATGAGTGAATATCTCATTGAAAATGGCGTCGCAAATTTTGGGAAAATCTATGGTAATTATACTGTTAGTTTGATCATTAGCTGTATAAAATGTTGATGAAATGCTTAGTATACCTACATTCACTATATTACTAATATTGTGTTTATAAAAAGCTTATATACATGCACGTGTTGTTCCAGTTTGTTATGTATATTGTTATCAAGAGCTAATAATAATAATAATAATATAATCTAATAATAATAATGCTATCAAGGTATTATTAGCTCTTGATTGTTATCTGTAGTCACATGCATGTACAAACTCACAAATACATTCACCTTTGAACATTTATGTAAAGATTCTCAGCCTTACAATTATATACCACACACATACACGTATTGCATACAAAGACAAACGTATGCATGTGTATATCTGAAGTTGATACCAGGTGAAATCCACTTCACTGCCCCATGAGCCATGTTTGTTTGAGGAACTTATCACTCGATATACATTAAACTGTTAAGTTTTAATGGTGTACATATGTATGCAGGGGCGTAGCTACGGGGGGCCTGGGGGGCACGTGCCCCCCCACAAATTTTCTGTGCCCCCCAGGTGCCCCCCACTGAAAATTCATGCTTGATAAAAAAAAAAATTGAATTAAAAACAATGCCGTTAGAAAGTTTTTGTCAGCTAGTCTTTGTCTCTCTCTCTTTTATGAAACAAAATTTTGTTTAAAAAAAAGGCTCAGTTTCAGAATTGCTGGAATTGGGATAGATTTACGTCACGCAATTGGCAAGGTCTTTGGACTCATTGCTGGTACCTGATCTTTTTCATTTATGTCATTGTAAAAAGGCCCTCGAAAAAAAATGTCTTTGGAAAAAATGTGGACCTTCTACAATTTTGGGGGGGTCGTACGACCCTCACGACCCCCCCCCCTGCATACACCCATGATATGACGTGAAATGCGCGAGCGTTTCCGCCGTTGTTATGGCGAGGACCCTACGCCCTATACTCCCAGCACTTGGAGCGTTTCAATAAAAAAGCTAAATAAACACGAAAATTATTGACTACCAAGGTCCAAAGTCTTAATGTTTCTCTACTCTCTTTTGTCGATAATTGCCGATAATTTCCTGCAAATGCCGTTCAAATGCTCCTCTGTAGCACATAGTATAAGGCTGCACAGTGTATACAGTGTATTACAGTGTACAGCGTATTACAGTGTATTATAGTGTATTATAGTATTATCATTATGTCACAATATGTGTATAATATCAGGGGTTAATATAGTCCGAGATTCCTCTGACCAATGCCCACACCGACGATTTTGGTGGTTTTGGTGTGGGTTAGTCCACTATCCCACTACTGCTAGTACTAGTGCTGAGAGGGTCTATGTCCCCCCAGGGTACTGCTGGAACGTACCCTGGTACTATCTAATATGCTGGACCGTACCTTGCCTACTCTACTAACGAGTCTAGGGAATCGCTTACGCCTACTCCCTAACCCTAACCATATCAGATAGTTACCAGGGTACGTTCCGGCAATACCCAGGGAGACATAGACTCTATGAGCACTACTTATGTGTAGCAGAGGAGAATAATTGAATGGAATTTACAGGAAATTATTAGCAATATTGAATAGGAAAAAGAGAGTAGAGAAACTTTGGTAGTAAGTTTGGTAACTTTGGTAAGTAACTTTGGTAGTAAGTACATTTCGTGTTTATTTAGCATTATATTTTTATTGAAACGCGCCAAGTGCTTGTGGCCCTACTAGTAGTAGTATCACTGTCATTATCAATAATTATAAATATTATTGATAATGACAATGGTACATGGTGATACTGAACACGAATTGTGGTGTGTACCAGGGAAAAAATAGCTTTCGTCAACAATTTTACAGGAGCTATTTTGAACCTCACAAGAGCTATTTTGAATTGCCTATTTTCACTATTTCCAATTCTCACTAGTTACCCCTTGCTAAATCTCTCCATGTTTGCAGAGTCCTGGTGCACGTTGTGCCTAAACCAAGACGAAAAAATCTCGTGTCTGGTGTTACATGCAATGTGAGAATTTGTCTGCACTGATTGTTTCATTCGCATTGCTCGCTTGGACGCATTGTTTTTTTTCAGCTTGCAGCTAGCAGCTCGCATTTTTCAGCTCGCACATCCGGCAGATCCCCCAACTACAAGAGCGATTTTTTTCAAATTATCTTTTTTTTTTGTTCTCGTAATTTGTTTTGAGGGAGCGATTTCGTAGGTTTGAAAAGCGAATCGCTCGTCGCTCCCGTGTATTTTTCCGAAAATGACAGCTGGTGCACCAAGCTATCCTTGATTCGTGTGGACCAAATGAACTTAACTGATAACCTATCTAATGTAATTACGTTAACTTTATAATTATATTGCTCTAGACTACAGCAGTATGGAGATGGTTACTGATGCACGGTCACTTGTCATGTTAAGCATCTGCTTACTGTCACCAGCTTCTACAGGTAAGTACGGTGACAACCTCCATGATTGATTCTCATGCAGTCTGACCACCGAGCTCTATTTACTAACTGGTCAGAGGCATTGACTAAGAATACCTCATAAGATATTCTTATTTAATTGCTATTAGAATACGCAGTATGGAGATGTCATGCTCGCACGTCATTTCATGTTAGATTTGCTAACTGTCACCGCTTTACAGGTAATACTGTAAAACCTCATTATTGATTCATGCGTCTGACCACGAGCTCTATTACTTAACTGGTCAGGCATTGACTAGAATCTACTCTTAAATATTTTATAGTCTAGTCTTACATAGAAGAAAAATCACACTTCGTAAAACTAACAGTATGTCAAGCCTAGTTTTAGACAAGTCTTTACCATGTTTGCAAATGAGCATGGGATCCCAACAGCTTGCCCACTGGCCAAAACTCGCAAAGTATTATGCCTAGTGAGGTGTGTGCCGTGATGTGTGTTGCGAAGGTGTAAATTGCAATATATATGATTTTACGTAGAACTATTTAGAAAACGGCGAGTTCATAAACTTAGAGTAATACAATTTTTTACTTATAGTTTGCTGCAGCTAGAAGACAATGAACAAATGTGTTGTCAATATTTATGCTTTCCTGTTTATTCAATTGTTGTTTTTTCTCGAATTTGCAGAATTTTGTGCCAATACAAAAACGTTCTTGAATGCCAGTTACAGATTTCCCCACTTCACATGAGTAATATCTCATGAAATGGCGTCGCAAAGTTTGGGAAAATCTAGGGTAATATACTGTTTCAGTTGATATTTGCTGTATTAAATGGTGAGTAAATTGTTATTATACCTACTCACTAATATTCCTAGATATTGTGTTTATAGAAGTTATTATATGCAGTGTTGTTCCAGTTTGTTATGTTATTATTTCAGAGCTAATAATATATAATATATAATCTAATAAGATAATAATCTATCAAGGTATTATTAGCTCTTGATTTATCTGTAAGTCACATGAATGCTGATCAACTACAATAATTCACTTTGAACATTTATTAAAAGATTGCTCTCAGCATTAAACATTATATACCACACACATACACGTATGCATACAAGAAATGTATGATTTGTATATACTGAAGTATTACCAGGTGAAATCACTTCCTGCCCATGACCAGTTTGTTTGAGAACTATCGTCGAATTTACATTAAATGTTAGTTTTAATGGATGTTACATATGTATCTGCAGTGAGCGTAGCTACGGGGCTGGGGAGCAACCGTGCCCCAATTATTCTGTTGCCCCCAGGGTGCCCCACTGAAAATTCAAATGCTTTGATAAAAAAAATTGAATAAAAACATGCCGTTGAACAGTAAACAAGAAGTTATATATTGTGCCCCACGAAAATGTAA